ATCTTTCTACGTATACTTCGAAAACTTTCTTTAAGGTGTTGACTTGGTGAACAGGATCTTTTTATTCGCATTCTTATAGAGTTTTTCTTCTTGATGTTATGAAGAATCTCACTGTTCATCCATGGGAGATGGTTTCGAGTTTGAAGTTTTTTCGTGGGAACAAAATCCGATACCGCGGCAAGAAACGCATTTTTCCAGTCGAGCCAATCTTGGTTGATATCACCGTCTTTTGATATTAGCTCCGTGAGATTTAGGGAATGAAGATATGACCGAAGACCATCAAAGTCAGCTCGACGGTAGTCAAATACAGTTCTCTTTATCTTTGGAATGGGGTTGCACGACAGAGAAAGATCGAAAATAACAGCGCTGTGGTCGGTGGAAATTTATGTATGTGATGGCTTTAAAACTTCACTTACTTTGATACGGTCAGGAATACTAGTGATGACAAGGTCGAGAATGTTTTATTTATTTATTTATTTATTTATTTATTTATTTAATGAATTTATTGAGCAATCTACATACGTACTATGTCAGGTACAAAGATAAAAACTTGACAAACGAAAGACAAAAACACACGTCACAAATCACAAATTAGTAGATACACTCAAACGGAAAAGCACAAACGGGACACTAAAAGTCCCATGCGAGGTGCTCCCCGTAATTAGTTTTGATATACCGGGTGTCCCAAAAAAAAGTACTCCGGTTTGATTCGTAATAACTTCTAAACAAGTAAACCTTTTAAAGAGAAATAACTTGCATCAAATAGAGGAAGGACTAACTTAGATTTTGATATATTACAGTTGTATTTCACTTAAAAATTCACGGAGATATTAATGTTTAAAATCGGGAGCATATTTCTTGATGTGTCTGCAATATGCCAAAAACAGCGTATCAAATATTAATCGAGATTTACCCGACTGAAACATGCACTATTACCTGTAACTAAATGACACTTGACAAATTGTTTATTATGAAACAAAGTATTATTATCTACAAAATACAAGCAAGATTTATGCGTCCGAAATCCGCGTGTGTTCCTAGCACGAATACGTTTCCTTATTTCATGAGACCACTGCATCGCGAAGGATCGTCATGGATCGTTCGTAGTTCTGAATTAGGGCATGCTGTCACAACGGAATTGTGAAGCTCTTCTAACTTCTGCAACGTTCTGAAATCTTGTTAAGAACACTCAAACTCATTTGCCTTTTCTTAATCTTTTTAAGTTCAGAATAAACTGAGAATGAAACACAATCAAACCATACAACTCCATAAGACATAACAATTAAGTATGCAACTCCCTGGAGACATCCAACATTTTTGGAACAAAACGTAACAAAATAGTAGCGTTGATACTGTAATGTGTATTTGCAAAAAGCAATATTATTTCCTTCATTGCAGAATAATATTCATCCTGCTCTAACCGAGAAATAATCAACTCTGTTTTGAACCCATGAAAAACATACAAAAATTAGGCGAAGAAAAATTTAAGCGCCTGCCTTGCATGGTCTTTCATGTACCGTATAAATGTGTAAAGTTTGTAAAGACCTATTAAATACTTGCATAATTTCGTACGTTCATATTTCAGGAAACAATGAGCTAAGACTTACATGTAAGAAGTCTAAATCTACGCCATATCCCTTGCAAACCCTAACGACATTTCGCTGAAATACAAGTTAGCCTGATATGTCATCAAGCAAACAAACGCTGAAGTTAATATTTGATATGCCGATTTTCGCTAATTTTAGACACATCCCAAAATAAGCTCCCGATTTTGAACATTAATATCTCCGTGAATTTTTAAGTAAAATCCAACTGTAATATATCAAAATCTAAGTTAGTTCTTCCTCTATTTAATGCAAGTTATTTCTGTTTGATAGCTTTACTTGTTTAGAAGTTATTATAAATCAAACCGGAGTACTTTTTTTTGGGACACCCGGTAGTTAATTAATTACACACACACACATATATATTACTTGTGGTATTAAGTCCTATGGCAAGGACAGTCACGATTTAATGACCACGTACAAGCCATGTCTACGTCATAAACATTACTAATTAATGTATAGTATCTACGTTTAAGATAGTGTTTAAAAGAGTTTGGATTACGGAAAATGTCAGGTGAGATTTCTTGGCACACTGTGTTCCAAATCTTTACAACACGATTGTAGTATGAAGACTTTTCTCCTCTAGTAGGCGATGTGTTCATTTGCTCTAAGAAAAAGTCGTTTAGTACTTTAACAAACGCATGTTCATTCCCGCCAGTTTCGTTTTCCCGCGAGTTCCAGCACGCGCGTGGTAAATTGAAATCGCCAGCAATCACAATTTTCGAATGACGTGTGCAAACATCTTGCAGAAAAGTTTCAAATTTATCCATCCAACTTTTTAAAGCGTCTGGTCACAGAGTAGATAATACATACAGAGACGTAACTGACCGTTGTAAACACTGCGGAAGATTACGTTATCATGTACCCACTTTTTTTCAGGCGATCAGGCGAAAAATGATCAACTGCGCGTGCTCAGCAAGTTTAAAGTGAGTCGTCATCAGGTCGTCATCCAATCAGATGCATGCATCTAGTAACTTGCCGAGCATGCGCACAAAAAAAGTGGGTACACTAGTTACGTCTCTGTATGTCTCTACTCTGTGGTCTGGTGGTCGATAACACGAACAAATAAGCATTTTCGTGTTAGATGAAGTTGTAGTTTCCGCTACTGCAATCTCTAAATCATGATTGTGTTCAATTTCACGCACAGATTTGAATGTAGAAGCCTTTAACCCCAACAATACACCACCGCCGCGCGTTTTACGGTCGTTTCTGACAATAGAATATCCTGAATGTAGAATTTCTGCGTTGTAAACATTTGAAGACAGCCAAGTCTCATTAACACAAACAATGTCAAAGTCTTCTGAGTACACAAAGTTCTGAAAACGCTCGAGATTACTTTCCGTTTTGTTGTTACACGTCACTAAACTTGTCAAACTACGTGCATTCATTGTGACACATTTGAGTGATTTGTCGGCTTCTTTACGTCTTGGTCCAGGATTAATTTCAACATCACCAGATAGCATAATAAGGAATACTGAGTAGGAAGCGTATAGTATAAGGCGCAGTCCAAGAATTAGTTTTAACGGATTTGCTAACGGTCGTTGTTTCGAAGTTCGTCGACGCTTGAAAGCTTTGGAGTAGTTTATCGCTCTTGTTACTTCTACGCAAACATATAACTCTTCCCAGGTGGAAGTACTTGTTATTTTGCATGTTTTCAAATGAAATATTCCACAAAATACTACATATATGTAGGTCAAAAGTATCAATTTCCGGGAGCCAGAAATTTTCCGGCTACCCGCCATGATGGCGTGATCTTTTTGTGAAACATTATTTATTAATCTGTGAAACATTATTTATTATCATGCCCCGTTTTGCCGCTCAACGTATCCAACTTCTTACTTCAGCTGCACAAGTTTTTGGTCAATCATGGCTAGTAAGTGGTGACAATGAGAAAGTTAAATACATGTTGAAAAGATCTATCCAGTTGAGTTATGAAGAAAATTGTATGTTATTTGGCATAGTTCAACGGTATATTCTGGACACTTGTCGTTTCTCCTGGCCTTATGACTAAATTGTGTCTGTCTTCCTCTTTGTTATTGGTTGTATTTTTTTGTGTTTGTATTTTTGTAAACATTTTTTTTTATATAAAAACAAAATTGTAAATAATGTGAGCCTCCTTGATAACAATTTTTTTATTATTAAATTCGCACGACGTACACAAATATTTTACATAGCTTATATCAAAGACTACAATATTATAATAAAGCTTTCAGAGTATGAATATAGTAACATAATCGTACGCAGTGGTCAAAGTAGCTTTACGCTTTCGGGTCGACCACTGCCTACACAGTGAAAAAGGGAGGCCGAAGTAACCAATCAAATGGTCACTTCACCCTCCGCTTTTCACCGTGCATTGCATGGATAAGCCATGGCTTTTGAGGCAAATATGTCAACAAAGGTTATATAAAAAAAGTTCCCAGAGAAAGAAAGACAGCGTATAGCGTCCTATCATACATATGTATTGAATGCTGATTAAAAAAAATGACTAAAAATTTAGGGTATTAGTTGCAGTAGTAATAATGTGTTTATAAAATTCTCCGCGTCCGTCTTTTACCTACACCCAATTTTCAGTGCCATATATACAGTCTACGTTTAAATCAGGAAACTAAAGCATTGCTTCGTACAGCGACACGTCAGGTGATTTGCTACCAATGTTCAATGAGCCATACTGCTGAACATTTTCGCGTTGATCTCTGTCAATTTGCATCTGATCTTGTGTTTCCAAACTTTGATAAGTTGCATCAATGGGAACTCTCTTAGAACTGTCCAGTTGCGCATAACCTTCCATATTTAATAATTCCATATTTAAACTTTGATAATTTGCATCAATGGGAACTCTCTTGGAACTGTCCAGTTGTGCATATTTTGCTGGTTCTTCATAATGACTATCAGAATCAGGTACATGTGGCAGTCTTCTGTCTGTATAAATGTCACCTTCATAAGCAGCATTTTGAATGTTACCAATGTCTCCCGTGCTCTCTCTTCTTGGTTTTCTTCGGTATATAACACGAGTAAGGATCACGATTACCGTTATGAAAACAACCAGTGCTGCCACCACAGCTCCAATAACGGCCCCAGTGTTAAGGTTTGATGAAGACGTTGGATTGGATAAATCTGGATCGGGTGGTTCTAAAAAAGGATCATTACTTGGGTTATTTATTTTGCAGTCTTGTATCAGTTTGTTCGTAATGAAGAAAACAGCCTAAGCTTGTAACGTCTGGGATATAAAGGCGATGTGTTGATGGGGAGACGCAACCATGACGCCCATAACTAACTAACTCGTAAAAAATACAAAACAATGGACACTCCTAAAACAGTTAACATTTTTAATTCGACGTTTCGACTATCTTGCAGTGATCATCAGTGGCGAAGTGGTTAGCGCACTTGCCTTTCACCTCTAAGGCCGTGGGTTCAAATCTCAGTGAGAACTTCTCAATGTGACTCGTACCCAGTCCTCATGTGAAAAGAGTAAAAAGTCAACGCTCTGCCGAAAGTCGTGGGTTTTCTCCGGGTACTCCGTGTTTCCTCCCACAGGGAAAGTTGACAGGGTGGGTTAGGCACATAGGTCTGGAGGCAGATCATTAATGAGGTATGGACTAATAGCGGCAGCTCAAGCGCCATTTGTAAGCTCAAAGTCTACCTCGGTCTGCTCACGTCAGTCCGGTTCTACCTAGCTATTCATAATGTAACCAGTCACTGAAAAGCTCTGATAGGGAGTGTGCTGTGAAATATCTGTATCTGTATCTGTAATGACGCTGCGGAAAATATACATGTTATATATACAAGATGAAATAATATGACATATGATATAATATGCTAAGTTAACTAAAGATTACGAGTTCTTTTGAGGCTTTGCATCCGTGGTTAAGTTCTGGTTTCTGGCAGTGAATATAGAGAGACTCTTTGAAAGTAATAAGGACCAATGTCTAGATTTATCTAATATTCTACAGTTGTTACGCATAATTGATTCAATTGTAAAATCGTCATGATTAAATAGAGTATGAGACAGATTAATTAGTGTTCTATAGTAGAGGAAGTGTTCGCATGCAGTTGTGTTTATATATTTCTGATTCTTTGGTGCGCGCGTGTTCTTTAATCCTTGTCATCAGACGGCGATCTGTTTTGCCAATGTATGACGCTTGACATCCAGGACAACTAAATTTGTAAACAACGCTACTTTGTAGATCTTTCGTGGTTCGGTCTGTCAAGCTTAGAAAGGTGTTATTGATTGTAGTCTACTGAATGTATTAATACCATCACACAAATTATTAACAAACATGCTCCCAAGAAACAGACATCGCTTAGCAAAGTGAAGCAATTAGCTAAGCCTTGGCTATCTAAGGGACTCATTAAATCAATTAAAACTAAACAAAAGTTATATCGTTCACACTTTTTAAGCAAACACCCTACAAAAGTATCTAGATATAAAACATATTCAAATGTACTAAATAAATTAAAAACTAAGACAAAAAACAGTACTATACACAATAATTTCAGTTATGTAAAGACAATTTAAAGAGCACATGGAAACTGACTGGAACATTAATTAATCGCAAAAGTAAAGGTCAGTCTTCTCCCTCTAGAATTATTAGAAATAATAAGGTATTCACCACACAATCTGATATTGCAGAACAGGTTAACCAGCATTTTGTCAATGTAGTAGTTAGCCTGTCACATTCCTAGCACTAATGATGATCCCACTAAATACATAAATAACTCCCCAATATCAAAGTTTCTATATGTCACCTGTCACAGAAGAATATGTTTGTCGACTATTGTCTGGACTAAATGTAACTAAATCATCATTAGAAATCCCAAATAAAATTATTAAACTGGCTAGCAGCTCCCTATCAGTACCTTTTACAATTATTTTCAATCAATCAATTGCTACTGGTATTGTTGCTTATGCATTTAAGGTATCTAGAGTAACACCAGTTTATAAGAATGGAACAATGACTGATCCTAACAATTACAGACCAAATGCAATCCTGTCACCTTTTAGCAAGACATTAGAGAAAATCATTTATGACCAGCTGATAGTTTTTCTAGAGAAATTTGATATAGTAAGTAAATTTCAGTTTGGTTTTAGAAAAGGGCACTCAACTGAGCAAGCTATACTAGAGACAACTGACAATCTAAAAACTTCAATCGACAACAGGATGATTACATGTGGTCTCTTCATTGATTTCTCTAAAGCTAATTAGCAAAATTATATAAATATGGAATAAGAGGTAGGCCATTTGAATGGTTCGAAAGTTATTTAAGTAATAGACATCAATTTGTGCAAATAGATAATGAAAAATCTAGTTTTCTCACAATGACTTGTGGAGTCCCCCAGGGGTCAACACTTGGGACCACTCTTATTTTTAATTTATATAAATGACATGGTTAACTCTTCATCAATACTTTCCTTTCGTATGTTTGCAGATGATGCTAACATATTTTATTCAGATAAAGACCCCCAAAAACTTGAATTAGTCATGAATACTGAACTTAAATTTAAAAAGTTCTGGATTACTGTTCTATAAATAAATTATCAGTTAATATGAAAAAGACCAACTTTATGGTGATATCCTCAAACACAAAAGAGCATATCAATATAAACACACATAATATTGAACGTAAAAGTTGTATCAAATATCTTGGAATATACCTTGATGAACATCTAACTTGGAAGAGTCAAATCGTACATGTTAATAATAAAATAGCCAAGAACATTGGGATTTTTTATAAACTACGTCATTATCTCAATATACACATGCTTAAACAACTCTACTATAACCTCATTTATCCTTATCTAACCTACGGTGCTATGAGTTGGGGTAATACGTACAATTCAAATCTAACTAAGATTCGTACTAAACAAATTTAAATATAAGTGCATTCGTAGTATTTTTTTGCAAGTCGTAAGGAGTCTGCATGCAATTATTATAAACTCCTAGGCATACTTAGATTTGACAACATTGTACCATTTAGACTTGCTACTTTTGCTAATAGACTGTCTAACGACCTTTTAAATGTACCTGTTATATTTCGTGATTACCTTAATTACACCAATATGAAATGTTCACAATCACAAGACTGTCAGCCAGAAATAATTTCTATCGACCAAATATTAGAACTAATTACGGAAAATTCACAACTAAATTTACAATTTCAAAACTTTGGAACTCTGTTCCAATTCACTTAAAACAATTATCCGCCAAAGCCTTCAAAATTCAATTCAAAAACTTTCTTCTATCCTGTCACTTATAACCTAGCAATCCTTATTAATAAATTGTTATAATGTAACAATTATTTAATATTATATACTAAAGTAGCAGTATCTTATTATCGTCTATATGCTATTTTGTTTTATAAATGGAATAGTATATACTGAACTTCTTCTTTCCTATTCAATTAAACTATATGTAGACAGAAGCCAATTCGAAAGCTAACGCTACTTTGGCTACTGTACACACCCGTTTAATATAGTAACTTGTCTATAATTTGTAAAAATAACTAAATTTCAAGTATAAAATAATCCAATGTACTAAGGTAAAATTTGTTCAAAATAAATTGAATTGAATTGTATTGTAGTGTCGTAGATTGTAAAAACTTAGCGCGCTGTTTGAGCAACCGTGATGCGTCTGGATTAAGGAGGTTCCTCTTTTATCGATGAATGGCAGATGAATCCAAATAGTGGGTAGGTTAGGTGACTTTGTGTTTTCCGTATTGTTGGTGGTAGTGGCGTTGTCATCATTGCTTGGCTTAGGAGCGAAGGACTCCATTAATTTGTTGACTAGGCGGCGAGGGTTATCATTTCATGATGCGAATTCAGCAATGATTTGTAGTTCATTTTTCAGTAAAATGCTGTTACTGCATATTTTGTGTGTGCGATGGACGAGGGACCTTAACCATGCTGTTTTCGGGCACCATGGAGTGAAGCTGGAGGGATGGACATACTGGCCAGTGTCGGTGTTGATTTGCGGTAAATTGGTGTGCTCGAGGAAGAGATTTTAATGTCGAGAAAATGAATGTCATCGTCGTCAGTGAATTTTTTGTGTGTAAATTTAATTTGCGGGTGAAAAGATTTGAATTGCTGTAGTACTGTTGGTATATGTCAGATGGTTTAATCAGTACTAGTGTATCGTCAACGCATTGTCGTTAACGATTTTATCTTCGAAGGCAGTCATTAAAATATCAGCTACAGTAGGCCCTAACGGATAACCCATAGATATTCCGTCAATTTGGCGATAGAGTGTGTCATTAATAGAGAAGGGTGTTTTATTTTATATTTATATTATTTATCTCACCAGAGAACCTCTCACCGTAAAGGTTAAAACCCAAATGAGAAATGTAAGTGATTTATCTCAATAACATACAGAACACATTCATGATGATAAAACAATTTATTTCGTTTTATTACAGTTATTCATACTTCTTAAGGAATTCTTCATATGCTTCCTTAGCATTAATGTTAGTACTAGTGAATATTTCTCCAGTGTCTTCATTCTTGTATCGATATTGTAGCGGATCACTGAATAGGATGAAGCCAGTCTTGGTCACACGAGGCTCGATCTCTTTCCATTCGAAAAATCCACAGCTGTCTACCTGGGGGCAGCAGTAAAACAGGCGGTTCTGGGTGGGTCCTTTTTTCACTTTATGTACGGCGCATACCATCCCGTGCTTGCAGCGTGGTCGAGGGCTTTCGTAAATGTGTCCCCATTGCCAAAAGTTGCAAGGATCATTTTATCTTTTACCACACGTACTTTGGTCAATCTCTGATGTGTGGGGCAAAAGGGATGATTGGAACCACTATTTTGACAGGCTTCCATCGCTCTCGTAAACAGATAACAATCTTCGTCATGGCAAAAGAACTCGCAGCTCGGTGTTTTGCCACAAAACCAAAACGTACCACGAGCAGTTGTAGAACAAGCAGCTGATTTACCGTGAAAACATTCCATCGTGAGTGTTGAATACAGACTATGCAGGTGAAAGGACACTAGCTGTATTTATAGTGATGTTACTTATTGTAATGCTAATTGATCGCGTTGCCTTATTGTGTTTGGTCGCGTTACATGTTACATTTGGCCCAGGCTTGCCCGCGTTAATTGGTCGCGCTACCTGTCACAGTTGGACCAGGCTTGCCCAGCAAAGTGACGTCATAGTTTTGCATACTAATTACTTCCGTTGCTAGAGTGCTAGCTGAGCAAAATGACGTCATTAGCGGCATCCCTTTGAACTCCAGAGTGGGGTCTATCACTACTTCTGTTTCTATAACGTATCTATTGCCGCCATTGTTTAGTCATAAACGGGACTTGATTGCTCCTAACATGTACGCGTTTAAGCAGAGCGTACTCATTGAACATCCATTTACATCACTAAAGATGTCCATTACATGAAATGTATACTTTGCAAATCATTCAGAAACTGATGAAAGCGTTTTAGTCTCGTTATTTGTTAGTATAATATCTAATAACGTTTCCGCGAGAATTAATTACTCGCTGGGGCACCTGTGCCCCGGGCGAGTATAGGGCTATGTTTACATTGTATCGGATCAGTTTTTGTTTCGTTCGCGAAAAGTTACGGCACAAGTGTAAACAGCTTCCGCCCCGTCCATCTATGCCGTCGTATTTTCTTCTATATATTATTAGAATAGTAAGTTGTTGTTTGCCAGATTCCATCTTGAGTCACGCATTGAACCGAAATTGCTCCGATTGGTGTTTACATCACAATGAGATACACCGCGTACCACTTCGAAGATCGAACCGCCGCACCACCGGTTCGTTGCAGAAATTGAGACGATAACAACATTTCATATGTAAACAGAAGCCCTATCCGGTATGGTTTTTGCGTCGGACGCAAAGTGATCCGATACAATGTAAACATAGCCTAGGTTTCGGCATCAATCTCCAATCTCCGATCGTCGATAGCCACAAAATAGAATATTAACTAGGAGCTACTATCGCAAGGAAAGTGCTGCCTCACCCCCAAGGGATGAGAGGCAGCAGCGAGATTTTCTGAATCAGAGATATGATCCTGCTTTGCCAGGACGAGATGCCAGGCAGGATTATTTTAATGTATTGAAATAAATTACTGTGCACGATTCAGCAAAAAACTACATAGTTAACGTTGTTGGTTCAAGTTGTTGGTTCAAAAGCTACTGTTAAAAGTAAAATAAAGTCAGGCGGAAATTTTATTTTAAAACTATAAAAATATAAAAAGTTTAAAAACGTCTTAGCTTTCGTCGTCTACGACGTCATCAGAGACAAAGTGAGTTATTTGTGAGAACAACTATAAATACTGTGTCCTGAATTAGAATTTCAAAGTATGTACAATTGAGAGTTGATGACTAAGGGATGAGGAGGTGATTAAGCTAATGAGATAATTAAAATAATTAAAATAAGAGATCTGATAGTTCGCTGTATTTTTCGGAATTGATTTGTGGTTTATGTTTACGGATGCGAATGTCTTCTTTGAGTCGTAAATTGACAGTATCGGGGGTGCTCGTAATAACTTCGGCGGTTATGTTGAAGTTGCTGTTGTGCCTCACTTGAACCAACAACATTCACATAATGCTACTGAAGGATAACTTTGTACATAGTTAACTGTAAACTGAAGGTTGTTCAAGCAGCAATAATAATCTTCTTGAACTACAACATTGGAATTCTGTTGACTTATTTCAATACATTAAAATCACCCCACTTTCCAATATTTACAGTAAACAGCCTCTAAGATACCTGTTCATGAGGTAAGAAAAGTGTAATTTGAATATCAAACACCTTGCACATAGTCAAAGATCAGCTAAATATTCTATTTCTACTTTCTTGGCATTGGGCAGTTTTGTATGAAAACCTTCAATGCTTATAATTCTTGCTTTTGTATGTATAATTATAATACTGTCAGTGGCAAAGCTAGCCATAGCAACAGGTCATACTATGCAAATTTTTAATTGTTTGCATTATGCACCGGGGGTGGGGGGTGGGGGAGATTTTGACTTAGCGCGGTAGTTAGAAAGTAAAATTGTCCCAGCCCCTGGGGAAAGGGTGATTAATCAATGTCCCCACATGTTTCTCAACACCGGGAAGATAGTTTTGTATGTTTCATAGATCAGCAAAAGATGAAAAGAAAATCAATGTTATTGTTATTTAAACTTTTCTTGTAAAGAAGACTAAAAACAGCAACACAGGATATATATGTTAACAACTGATTCCATTCCCCTGCTTTCGCCCCGCATTGTCTACCGCAAGAGAGAATGTCGTCCAAGTCCCCCATCATTGGGGACATATTCACAATCAAAACTGACCACTTTCCCCGCTAAATCCCACGCCCCTCCCCAGTTGGGGGGAGGGGATTTACATTGACTGGTGCATTATTCAAATGATGCAGGTTTATTAGGATAGCATGACCAGTTATCCTGGCCAGCTAGCTACTGAATACTGTATATTGTCGTATATAGAAATACTAAGTCAGTTTTTGTTCCAATTATTATTTACATGGCACCTCCAAGGCTACCCCTATTGCAAATTAACAACCGAACAATCTGATGGGGAGACAAAATGTATTTGTTGACATTTCAATTGGATACCACGCTTATTAAGCAAATTCCTTCAAATTTAATTGCACCCCCCCCCACACATTTTCTTGAAAAAATTTAATAGCCCCCCCCTTCTAGTAATTTATTTATACGTATGGCCCCCCTTATTTTTCCCTCCCCCCTTCCATAAATAATGCCGGTCCCTTGGTCAAATTGTATATTTGTTGACAAATCACTCGCACTACCTTTGTCCTTGTATTTGTAATGCCTCATGGCGCAATAACGATAAAAATATCACCGTTCGGTTCAGGGTAAGAAATTGTACTAAACAATAGTATTCTAGCGATTTATGGTCTTTGTCTTTGAAAGACAAGCGAAATTGTAATGTTAACAAATCGCCCATACGGATGTCAAATGTATTACTAAACAACAGTGATAGTCTAGCCAAGCGAAATTGTATTGTTGATAACTTTGGTATCATTGCTTTTCTCTTTTTCGGCCGTATACCAGTGGATCCGCCTTACTTCTCTCTTCATTTTGATAGTATTTTGAGCCCAAAAGCCCCCAAATTAGTTTATTTTGAACGTTTTAAAGCGTAGTGAGCAGCCTAGCGCACGGACCAACTGGCGGCTGACAGTCTTGAAGAATGTAGTGTACTAAATATAACTTTACTTGTAGGGCCTACCGCATTTTAGTACTGTGTAAGTCTTTTGCGCTCGTATTCGACTTTTCCGCTTAGTAATGTGCGTATTTGTATGACTTGTATAGCCCCAGCGAGTCAACCCTCCGCAGAGCGTTTTGTTAAGTTAGTAAAATTGTAAATATCTAATAAATCATTCAAATCGAGTTGCTGCCATCCGAGGGGGGGGGGGCGGGACTTTTACTTTCTGTCTGCGGGGGTTGTAAGACTAGTAACTAGCATTATAAGTTATTCGTTGTTCGCCCGACAGCCGACGCGATTGTATTGTCACGATATTGTAGTGTCGCGCGATTGTCTGGAATTTTGTTTTGCACATTTTTGATCCTCTTGTCAACAAAACGTCATACTATATAACAAACGAATTGTCGGAAACTGTTAATAATCAATATATTTAGTATAAAATAATGTTTTGTTCACATGTGGGACGCGCGAGTCAGAATACACTGGTTATTGCTATTGTATAGTCGGAGGTTTTTTAGTGAGAGATTTTGCGAAATTAGGATAGTTCGTAGCGTCGAATAAAAGCTAAAAGAAACTATTGTGTTGAGGATTATCTCGGGGGCAATTTTCAAGATTTCAGACGAACAATCACAAAATCCGCTTACTTCTAGATATCGTATTACAACACAGCATAACACCCGACCATGCAATCTCAAAATTTCCAGATTCTGTGGATACTAAGGGACCGCTCATTATTTATTGTACAGGGGGGGATTGAGGAGAAACTGGGGGGGGCCTTTAAATTTTTCAAAACCTGAAAGGGGGGGCTTTGAAAAAATACAGAGAGACGAAAGAAGGGGGGCTTTGAAAATATTTACCAGTTTGAAAAAACAGTAGTTTTAAAAATGTATCACAAAACAACTTAACAACAAATAACAATATTTATAGACTTCAATATTCATAAATGGAAGTCAAATAAAAAGTCTCTCATGTTCATGTAAATAGACAATTCCCATTATAGACTAATTTTAGAACTAGGCAAAGAGATGCAAATCAAGGCCGAATTTTGGTGAAAATAGTGGGGGAGGTGGAAAAAAATGTTAGGGGAGGTGCAGCAGTCTAGCTCACAACCCCCATGGAAAATTAGGGCTTATTGTAGAACAGGCCAATATCAACAAGGTGAGGTATGCATGTAGTGTACATATGTACCAGTGTATTAATGAATTATGAATGTATGACTCCAATCTTGCCCTTCATTGCAATTGCTACAAAGTTTCTTTCAAAACATTGCATTACACTAGTGTACTTGACACATATATGAATGGCTATCACTGTTTCAATTTTACAGAGAAAACTTTCGTATGTCACGAAGTGTAGATCCTAAGCAACCATCACATTTTCACTTTGTTCCATCATTGAAACTTTCCGAAGGGGAGGTGCATGACCTTTCAGGAGAAGTGCAAAAATTCTCAGGGGAGGTGCAAAACAATCTCAGGGGAGGTGCGCACCTCTCCACACCTCCCCTCAAAATCCGGCCTTGATGAAAATAAATCACCATTGCTAGAAAGAGCATACTAAAATAAGTAAATTATTTCAAGTTTGGTTGCGAGATGTTGTAAAATACGGAAAATATAGCCTTGCAAAGTTTGCAAATTTTGTATACTTTTGTATTGCATGCGAAAATTGCAATACAAAAGTATACAAAATTCTTGCAACTTTGGAAGGCTATATATTTTCTACATTTTACAACATTTCGCAACCAAACATTGCAATTTTATTAATTTTAGTATGCCCTTCCTGGGAATATACTTTTTTAGTCTATAATGGGAATTGTCTATTGGTCCCCATTATCTATTTGTGTTTCTCTATAAATAAAGAGCTAGAGTTTTTGTTTCTCTAAATAAAGATAAAGAGCCGGGGGGGGGCTTGTTAAAATTTATGTTCTTGTTTTGCGTGTTGAGGGGAAGGGGCTTTGAAAATTTTACTTATCTTAAGAGGGGGGCAACGAAAAAATATTATAACTGTAGAGTTTCTCCTCAGTCTCCCCCTGTACAATAAATAATGAGCAGTCCCTTATTGACATTGTATTCCCAAAATGAGACAATTTTTTCTACATATACAAACTTAACTTTTCTTCTAATTCTAGCAACGTATCCATCGTTATGTGCCTTATGTCATCCTCGGTCTCTTGTGTTTAATATCTGGAATCACATGCCATATATGGATTCCTGAAACGAAGGAAGCAACAACACTGGAAGTCTTTCCTGCTAAGTCTGAAGAAGGTCAGAACAAGGACAACCATCCTCAGGCACATGAAAACCAAGTGGCAATCAGTTAGATTAAATAGTGGATTTTATATTATACATTGTGATTGTATTATTATTGGGATGTTTATGTAATATTTCAAATCAGAAAATGTAGACTGGACAGAATTTCCGGCGGTTTATGCCAGTCCGAGACGAAGCCGAGCTAGCATCTCACACTCATCATCGGCGGTGGGTCCAGGGGCAAGTTTCCCAGATAACTTTGAAATATATAGAGCTTTCTAAATGGCAGGATTTCACACGCAGAAACTATGAAATTTTGTTCATTTCACATTTCAGGCAGCAAAATGTGACACCTTCGATTCTATAATCCCCCTAGCAGCTAGCCATGATATATACTCAATCATTACTTAAAGTGAATTGATCATGAATAAATTTTGATGCAGTCCTAGAAATGAATTAATTCTTGATGCAGTGCTGGAAATGAATTAAGTTTTGATCCAGTCCTAGATTTTGATTCAGTCTTGAGAGTCGAGACTGATCAGTTAATTTTCATCCAGTCCTAGACTTACCACAGCCTACGGCCCTACAATCGCGTGCAAAAATAATGAGACTCTTCACATTTTGGTGATCTTTTTCACGTGCGTGCCCCCCTCCCCCCATTAACAATGTTGAAAACATAGTATTTGATAAGCCCTGACCTCAAAATCGTTTTAACAACATTGCACAAGGGGGGGGGGGGGGAAGCATTGTTACAGCAAGGAGAGGGCCAATAAACTGCTTGTCTCAAGAATTTTTGCACGCGATTGTCTTAGCAGAGGCCTCATTGTGTTCACAAACTTAATTAAATTTCTGCCAAAAATTGAACTTAACGCAGTCTCGGGCAAAATTTTCATTTTTCGCGCTTTAAGCCCAGTGATCTAGTTTTCGTGCGAAACTCGCACAAAAATGGACTCAAAAGACGCAGAATGGGGGACTGGGTACGAGTAAACAACCGTTTTGAACTGCTTATTGGATCCTCTATGTCTCCTGTTCTAACTTTTCAATCGGGACTCTGACATCCAATTTTTGCAACTTTAAGCAACGCAATTTTCTACTACGGCAGAAACGGACAGATTGACGAACGCGAAACAGAAATTATCTGGTTTGTTTGGTGGAGGGTCTTTGAGTTTACCCGGAAGATTCTGCAGGCGGAGCAGAAAGACCTGTCTCCGTACCCGCGCTGCTTTGACGAACTGGTGTTTATGGATGAACAGTTTTAACTTTTTTCATGCTGCCATCATTGCACATTTACTCTCAAAGAAAAATATAAGAATAGATGACACGTTACTCACACGTTACGCACACGTTACGCCACACGTTACGCTTGACTTTATATAGAATATTAATGAAAACCGACACGTTACACACGTTACGCCCCATTCTTATAAAGGTAGAATAGGTCTACCTTTAATATATTAGGCGTAACGTGTGTAACGTGTCAGCTTGCTATAGATTCTTATATAGTGAAAGGCGTAACGTGTGGCGTAACGTGCGTGTAACGTGCGCGTAACGGGGGGGGGGGGGGGGGCGAAATTGAGTTCTATTTAGTTTGCATGCATGTATAAGGTCTTCAAAATAATTTTCACGTAGGCAATAAGTCGTTGAGTTTTCGCATAGTACTTTTATTGAATATGCATGATAGAAGTGTGTACTTAATACACACTTCGTTACTATTAAGCATCTAAAACAGTTATTGAAATCAAAAGGCACTGCCAATATAAACGGTATAAATAGGGAAAAACATTGTAATATAAAAACACTTAATAAATTTAATACTTTAATCGTTCCGCTCGTTTCTCACTGATCATTGCAACACGCTTGTTCATCGATATAATAATTCAGTTCATAAAACTTTTTGACAAACTTATCGTCGTGCTTTTAACTCATTCGGAAAATTGTTCAAACTTTTCTGACGTGATCTGCTTGTCAATGGCATCTTGTCCTAACTGTTTGATACTCAAGTGGGACGCGTTCAATTTATGAACTATTTACGGTCATTTATGACGTCACGATGACGTCATTGTGACGTCACAATTTTACACACTGTAGGTAAAATCGTTAGGCACACATGAAACACATAGTCACAGCAAGCAAAGGCTGTTATGCTTCTTATTTACGGCAAAGCGAAATAACCGTATTAAAATTATCATTACTCGACACTACATAGACAATCGCGTGCAAAAATAATGAGACTCTTCACATTTTGGTGATCTTTTTTACGTGCGTGCCCCCCTCCCCCCATTAACAATGTTGAAAACATATTATTTGATAAGCCCTGACCTCCAAATCGTTTTAACAACATTGCACAAGGGGGGGGGGCAAGAAGCATTGTTACAGCAAGGAGAGGGCCAATAAACTGCTTGTCTCAAGAATTTTTGCACGCGATTGTAGGTCGTAGGTTCGATTCCTACAGTGGCCAGGCATAGTTTTCAAGCTTGCCCGGTGTGGATATACACTCGGAGTAACATCACAAGCATCATATTCACCTGAGTACATTGCACCAACACAGAAAAAATCAAGGACATGCTACAGTATACAAGTTTTTAATTATTTGCATTATTCAAATAGATCCAGGTATATAGGTGTGGCATGACCAGTTGCCATAGTAGTTAGCTTGCAACTGAATACTGTACAATATCATATTATATATAAACAATAATACTTGAATGAATCATTGGACATGTAGAATTTAATAACAATTTCATATGCAGAAATATTAAGTTTTTGACCCAATTATCGTTTTAATGGCACATTCAAAGTAATCTGCGATCAGGCCTATAAATAAATAAATATAGGCCTGATACAAACCTTAACAAAAGATCATGCCTTACAATCATATTTCGGTTGTAAATTTTTTAATCTGTCATTTAATTGGTTGGTGCTAATTATATTATTTTGTTGTGAATAGTGATCACAACTATAATTAGATTGTTGTTGTCCTTGTGTGAAATTTGAATTTCTCCTGCGACATTTTGATTGGATAATAAATATAAACTTTGCTGCACATGGGTGGAAAACTATCGGATTAAGGTTTGTGTCAGGGTATATTTGTAAAATAGAGCCTGTTCTCAGGTTACCTTCAAAGTTCAAAGCTACCCACACTACCGTAGGAAGCAATTTTGTATTGGGGGCTGATTAGTCTGGGGTGATTATTGCTAGTTTATAAATTATTGTTGCTACGCCCTGACCCCTAAATTGCAAAACAACTGAACAGTCTGCTGATGCCCGATGGGGAGACAAAAATATCTGTTTGTTGACAGTTTTGTTTCATATGTCAGCTTCTGATGACATCATTCATTTGTAATGATTAAGATTGTACTCAGTCAACTGAAAAACTAAATAATACAAGAAATTGTGAACATTATAAAAATATATAGTATACCCTGAACTGTAGTCTGTAGTGACACACGCAGCCAGGTGAATATATTATGCTAACAATTAACAATGGACATACAGCTCAGAAATATATTTGTACAATAAGTTCTTTGAATGTTTGCATGGCGATAAAATATAATTGTTTTTGTTTGTGGAAACACCACGTAAATTTATAAATTTACGTGGTGTTTTCACAAACAAAAACAATTATATTTGTACAGTTGACATGTTATTACATGTAACTGCTGGTAAATTAATATGACTCTGCAGAAAACAATCCACACTGAATTGCTATAGGAATATCTTTCTACAAGTCAGATATTTTTTCATTCGTATACAAATACAATTATGTGTTCCAATACGGGCACGATACTGCTCAATTGATATTCCCATTAATCCCATAATATCAATATTGTAATAAAACTATCACTGTGATTATTTATACCTTGAAGTACGATGTTCTATCAAGCTCAAACAGATTTTTTACTCCACTTGTTTTAATATATAATATAATGAATAGTTGTATACTTGTATGGCACCTAAATTAAAATTTAATAAAAATACAGTTGATTCATTCGTTTCAATGGGTAAAATAATTCGACCAAACACATTGTTATTTGTGATCAAACTTTCATCTTACCTTGAAAAATATTTTCGATAAACAGCCAGACGCAAGAAAAATATTTCGATAAAAAGCCAGACCATTGAACTGAGCCAGACATATATTTACAACAGGCAGCGAGGCACATGTTTACAAATTGTAATCGTTCAAGGTGGTGTTCGTGAGTCTCAACCAGGGTATTTGGAAAGTCAAATCACGATCTGGAGTATGTTATTTTTTTAAATATCTGTGACGTCAAAAAACGTCATAAACTGATCATCCAAACAAACATTCGTCACTTGAAAATCGAGTTGTCGTTCGGCTATACATAACTCGGCCAAAGAGACTGGGCACACGTAAACGCAATACTTCATGTTAAGAATAGTGTGCTTCCTTCGGCAGCAAATATACAAATTTCGATTTGTAAAGAGCATCATCTCTTCAAAAAGGTGACCTAGTTTACGCATCTATAAACTGTAACGAGCCACCTTAAGGTTGCCTTTAGACGGCAAAGAAATTCGGAAAGAATACTGCGCGTTTTCAATATTTTGTCAGCTGGTAAACGAGCCTCCATTGTATTCTTGTCTAACTCGATGCCAGCAAAAGTCAAAATTGTGGAAGGGCCAACCGTTTTCTCGGGAACGATTGGCACATGGACAAAAACCCTCAAGGCAGTGCAACATTGTTCGTACGATGCGCCTGACAGTAGGTAGTCATCGAGGATCATATGAATGAGATGCGGAATGTGACACCGAGTTTTAGCAACCCACTCAAGAGCAGTGCTAAACGTACATTTCGAATGTGCGGCAGGAAGATGCACACCCCATGAGTAGTAGGAAAGGGCGGGTTCTAGCTCATTATGGAAGTACTTTATGTTATACAAAAAATAGTGGATCCACAGTTCTATTACGCACCTTTTACACGCATTTGAGATGACGTCACTTCTGGTTTACAAAATCAAGTGACCTATGACGTCACCACCACCCTCACCTATGACGTCACCACCCCTCCACCACGCATTCACAAACCCCCGCAAACCCCGCCACCTCCGCCTTGAGGAGTTTTACCGAAAATTCCCCAAAACCTCCCCAAAGCCTCCCCAAAGCCTCCCACTGCTCAGTTTTGGATCACGTGACCTATGACGTCACTTCCGGTTGAAAAAAGCTGAGTCAGCAGTTTTTAAAAAAAGTAGTTTTCTATATAATAAAAAGGATCCTTTGTTTTCAGTTCCCAAGTCCGTCTGCAAGTCCCAAGTCCGTACATAAGATCTGGAACAAGTTGTCATTCTTATTTTTAAACCCTTTAGGTTTGAAATTTTTTTTTCTATATAACAAAAAGGATGTCCATTACTAAAGTTTCAGACTTCTCCAAAGACTCGTTCGCTTTCGGAAATGCCGTCGGAAACAGTTACGGGTCTAAAAAGATTAAACTAACGGCACAGGATCAGGGTCGACTTCTACTAGAACTTGAGGACTGCTTGTCCTATGGAGTGAACAAGAACAACAAGTTTTGTAAGGTTAGTTACTCCATCTCCCTAGCTCTGCGGGATAAGGATGAGTTTGTGTCAGCCCTGAAACTGGTGGAAAAGGAGTCCGCCGATCACGTTGGTAAGCCAGGTGCACGTGAAAACATTATGAAATGTCTTTACCGGGAAGGCAGCACTCCAACCCTGTACGTAAAGATCGACGATGAAACGTTTAAGCCAGAGCCAGGCGCTCGCGAACATTATAGTTTGGTTAGTTCAGTTTAATCGCTTGTTTTAAAGTCCTACTATAAAGTTGCTATCGATTATTTAGTGCGCGATTGGAACACTTCAATTAATATATTTATTACTATTTCTCAACCCAGGTTAATAATTATTGTGAATATCTCATTTAAGGGTCGATTACGACAAGCAGAGGTTGGCAGCTGACAATGTCATCTATCTTTATAAATGAATGAATGAAACCGGCAAATGACAAAAACACAGAGACCGCGCACGCTCAGGAGCCTGGCATTGGCAAACAAATAGCTTATTTTCAAGGATTAGCATAAAACGCGGATGCGGACGGATAGACGGACAGATGAGAAACGTTATTGCTTCACCAATGTCAAAGCATATAATATTTGCAATATAATTGTAAAGAAGACATCGTGAACTAATGTTTATTA